GGGGTTGCTGCCAGGAGGGCGTCTAGAAGAGGTTCAAGGTGAGGGGGAGGGATGCTGGAAATGAGCCCGCAAGCAGGGAGGGCCCTGCAGGCACCCCGGGAGAGGGAGCTTGAGTTTGGGGTTGCTGGGAGCGGTGAGGGGGGGGGAGCCTTCTTCCTATGTGACCCAGTGGGTGGCACATGTACCGTGGGGGCTGAGGGGCAGGGGTGGGGGCAGGATCCTGGGTGCTCTTGCACCCTGTCCCCAGCTGAAGCCTGCCCCCACTGTTCAGCAGGAAGGCAGCTCTGAGCAGCTGCACCACTGCAGCCACGCCACGCTGTGCCATGCATGGTTGTCCCCGGCTGCCCACCAAGCCCTGTTCTCAGCGTGTGACCCGAGATGTGCTCTCCTGGGGAGACTGAGAGCCCACAATGCCTCTCCTGCAGGGACCCCGCTGCCTGCCAAACTCAAACCCACTGCCGTCGGTCTTTGCCGACTCACTCGGCCCGACAGGACAGGGTGGAGCTGCCCCTGCAGGCTTCCCAGACTGTGGCTCTTTCTCTCGGAGCTGCTGGTGGTTTTGAACTGATGACCTTAGCAACCCCATGCTAACCACTAGGCAACCCGGGCTCCTGTCCATGCCTGCCTAGGAGCAGGATATGAAACACCATGCCCCTGGGGTCTCCCTCGGCTCTGTGTGGCAGCCTTAATTCTGCTCCCTCATGTATATGTGTATGTATAGGTATAGGCATAGGCATATGTGTATGCATAGGTATATGTGCATGTGTATGGATGTGTACGTGTATATGTCCCTGTGTATGAGTATGCTACATATATGTGTATAAGTATATACATGTATATGTGCATGTGTATGTATATGCATAGGTATATGTGTATGCGTATATGTATACTGTGTGTATGTATACATATATGTAGATGTATATGCCTATGCATATGCTTATGTAAGGCTGTCCTTGTGCAGGTGGTGGCTCCTTCCTGGACTTTCCCAGCTTTCTGGACAGATTTTGAACAGATAGGGGATTAGGGACCCCACCCCTAGCACTGGTTATTAATGTCATAGTTTATGGACCTCCATCCCCACTTATTTCAGTCATAAGATCATTAATAAATATATAAAACAAAACCCACTGCAGACGCAGAATGACCTTCCAGGACAGGGTTTCCAAGGCTGGGAATCTTCGTGGGAGCAAACAGCCCTGACTCTCTCCTGTGCAGCGGCGGGTGGGTTTGAAGCACCCCGACCTTTCCGCTCGCAGCTGAACACTCAACGCTGTGCCACCAGGCTCCTCCCACAGGTGGAGTTGGCCGTGCCCCATGGCCGCTGTGTAGGAGGGAGAAACTGCGTTCTTGTTCGACTCCATCGTCCCATGAACAAAGCCTTGCCATGCCCCGCATCTCGCTCAGGATTCCAGGCACGCTCGAGCCCGCTGCTGCAGCCACTGTGCCAGTCCATCTCCATGCTGCCTCTCACCCTCGCCAGACGTGACGCACTCGTCACCAGCTGACCCCTCCTGAGGACATGTCCGAGTGGGCCAGACACTGTTCTTTTGTGACTCTTAATGCTTGCATCGGTCGGCTTTTGGCAAGGAGACTACCAGCCCTTTCTTCCTTGTCTGTCTTTGTCTGGAAGTCCTCCCCAGAGCTGCCCATCCTAAGTGGCACTTCTGCTTTTTGAAGTACGAGGGACCCGGTTTCCACATCACAGGAGCACGCAGTCCCTGGAGAAGGACCTCATGCCTGCTCGAGGAGAAGGCCACTGCCAGGGAGGAAGGCCCTCAGGGAGGGGCTTGGCGCCGTGCAGAGAGCCCACAGGGCTCAGACATCAGAACAGTCGGGCGGGTGGCAAAGGGCGGGCAGTGCTTGGTTCTGTCATACGCGGCTCGCGATGAGTTGGAACTGACTCGGTAGCACCTGGCCACAACCAGTGGCACGCAGGCACCAGCGTGTGGCCGACGGACGGACGGACAGACGTGTGTACTGTGCTCCCGGATGGGGGCTTCATTTCCTCCAGCCGCCACAGCAACTCTGGGATTGGTACAGCAGTTACCCTAACGTCACACACACGCACACGCATGCGAAGATTCGGGGAGGTTAGGAAACCTGCCAGAGTCACACAGCCAGTAAATGGAGGGTCCGGGACAGGAGACGGGCCCATGTCTGAGCTCTGTGCCAGGGGAGGGTCACTGTCCCCTGGCTCTGAAGAGGATGACTTGTGCTGGGAGCCAGAGTCAGCCCAGTTGCAGCAGGACTTTGGCGGGTGCCCTTCAAGAGCAGATGCCCACACCTTTCCTGAGTGTGTGCTTTGCAGGACTAGACAAGGACCCAGCTGGCTCAGCTGCTCCCTGAGCGCATGGCAGAAAGACCTGGTGATCCTCTCCCATAAAGAGACAGTGCTACTCTGTCCCGGGGGTGGGGTGGTGGTGGTGGTGGGGGTCTCTGTCCATGATCTATGACAACAACACCTTTAGGATGCATTTCTTTGCCAACCCCGGAGGGAGCAGGCTTCAGCTCCATGCTCTCAGGTGGCCCGAAGACGGGAAAGGTGGGGGTTGTTGATGACACTTGGCCAGGGGGGTACTGGGTGGGTTTGCTAGGTGAGTGAGGGTGAGGGCTGAACTGACGAGCAGGGGCTGTCTGAAGCTGGGGAAACCCTAGTGTTGGATCGGGAAGATGGGGTCACCACTGGGGGTTTGGCAGGGACCCTGCAGCTAGCGAGAGTCACTGAAAGCTTCGAGCCCAGAGTGACCGTGGTGATGGCGATGGTCTCCCTGAGGGGTGTGGGCTGGCTCAGAAGTGGGAGGACAGGCAGCCTGAGAGACTTCTTACCCCGGGGCTGGGGGTTTCTGGAGCTCAGCCTTGTGCGTGGTCGTGGTCTGGAGGTGTCATAGGGCCTTGCATTTGGAAGCTGTGGTGGGACTGTGTTAAGGAGCTCTGGTGGCAGAGTGGTTATGCGTTGGGCTGCTAATTGAATAGGTCAGTGGTTTGAAACCACCAACTGCTCTGTGGGAGAAAGATGAGGCTTTCTACTCCAGTTAGGAGTTACCGTCTCGGCCACCCACACGGCCATCCTGACCTGTCCTGCAGGGGTGCTATGAGTCGGAATCCACTTGATGGCAGTGAGTTTGTTGTTGCAGGGGGAACCTGTGTAGGTGTTCACTTGGGGGCCTGTGGAGAGGTCAAGACCTCTGAAGGAGTGGCTGCAGCCAGCGTAGAGCAGGGCAGCCCAGGAGAATGTCCCGGGCACTGGGCACTCAGGCCAGGGTTTTCCTCCAGGGGTGTGTGTGCTGGGAAAGAGTCAGGACAAGGGAATGGAGTGGAGATGACCTTGTTACTTAAACTTCCTGTCCCGGATGTGGAGCAGGTGCCCGCTGGGGAGAGGGCAGTGAGGGGGAGGAGTGTGGGCTGTGGAGACGGGCTCTGGGCACTGCCACCTGAGCCCCATTGTTGGGCCTGGCAGGGAGGAGAGTGGGCAGAATGTTCAAGGCTGAGGTTGGGCCTTGAACCTAATACCATGTGTCCTGCCCTTGAAGAGGCCTTGGCTGCTGCTGTGTCCCCCAACAGCCACCAGATGGTACAGGGCTCCAGGGAGGTGCTGCGGTGTGGCAGGGGTGGTGATGGGGGGCGTGGGGGGAGGAGCACTGGGGAGGTGGGCATCTGGTCTTGGTGTCGCCAAATGTAGTTCTCGGGTCAGTCCTTAAGCCTGTTCCTCAGGGATGGGTAGACCATTTAGCCATCTGCATGGGAGACAGCGCAACCTGTCCTCGTGTCCATCCGTGGCCCAGCGTGAGCGCTCCTCACCCTCTGTGTGCAGGAAGTCAGTGAGAGGCGGTGGGTGACACAGGGTAACCCTCCCCCAGCACTGGCCCAGCTCCGCCCAGCACTGGCCCAGATCCCGAGGGGCAGACAGAGCTGGAGCCCCAGAGAACGCTAGACTGAGACCCCCGCTTACCTTATCCCTAAGGGCAGGGCCCCATTGGATTATCCCCTGAGGTGCCCTTAGGGCCCTTCCTCCTAACCTTTTTCCCTGGAATGATTCAAAATCCCATTCTCCAGAGAGGCAGAGGGCCTTTTCATCGGTCCTTTGGTGTATCGGAGTTGGGGGTCCTGCAGGGAAGCCAGAACCCTGACCACCCAGCTGAGCGCAGCTGGGGGACGCTGCCTAGACATCTCGGGGCCCCAGGGACCAGCCTTTCCCTGCCTTGACCTTGACCTTGACCCGCTTTCTGCCTGCAGGGCGGCACGGTGGATGATCGGAGTGAAGACCCCGCCTCTGTCTCCACCTTGAGCTTCGGTGTGAACAGACCCACCATCTCCTGCATCTTTGACTGTGAGTGACATGGGGGTGGGGGGGGGAGCGGTGTGACCCTCCTTTTCTGTTGGCAGGGGGTTGTATGGTCAGCTGTCTGTGTGTGTGGTGGGGTGGACTCTAGGCTGGTGGGCCAGTGGCTTGTGTGGTGCCGCTGTGTGTGTGCATCAGAGCACGTGTGAGATATGCATGACCCTGTGAGAGTTTACGTGTATATGTGGGCATAGGCACTTTTGTGTGTGTGCGATGGTGGCTATGTGGCGCGTGTTTTAGGGTTCCCTTGTACAGTTCTGTGTGTGCATCTGTGTGTGTGGTGTGCACATCTCTGTGTACTTCTGGGTGTAACCCTGTGTGTGTGTTGTGTATTTCTGTGTGTGTCTGTCTGAGTAAGTCTGTGTGTGTGCTGTGAGCTTCCCCGCGTGCCTTGCGTCCTAGACTTGAAATTGGCAGCAGGCCCTGTGCATTCTGGCTGCCCCATCATCCTTGTGGCCTCTCCTCCTTTTCTGCCCCTGCTCCTCGGTGCCCTCTTGCTCAAGGACACGTGAGGTGACTCAGCCACGACAGTGTGTCCCCTGACCCTGTGAGAGGACCACTCCTGCCCTCACTGGGGACAGATCCCACCTTCCCCTCTTGGGCTTCCCCTTAACCGGGCGTCTGTTTCTTCCTTTATGAAGATGGGAACCGTTACCATCTACGCTGCTACATGTACCAGGCCCGGGACCTGCCCGCTATGGACAAGGATTCTTTTTCTGGTAGGTAGGGGTCAGGGAGAGGGTGGGGAGGGAGAGGGGAAGGGAGGAGAGCCAGGGACTTCGGAATGAAGCCACAGATGAATGAAGACAGAGCAGGGACCCTGGTGTGAGGCACCTCCTCTGTGGGGAGGGGCTGCCCAGGGGCCTGTTGTCTCCTGCCAGCAAGCACAGCTGCCTCTTCTCCATCCTCTGCAGATTGTGCCTCCTTCCCTAAAGCCCCTCTGGCTTCTGTCCCCAGGACACCATTCTCTCGGTGGTCCCTTCTAGTTCCCTACTCTCTCTGCTCCTCCTAAGGATGCCCCATTGTGGCCTGCCTGGCTTCTCTAGAAGAGACGTAAAACCAGTGGAGCTTATGTGTCTGTGCGTCTGTGTAGCGAGATCTCCCCCAAGGAGACAGCTCACACAGGTACAGAGGCGGTGGGTCAGAGGCCAGTGTGGCAGCTTTTCCTGACTCAGAGAGCTGCAGGGCCTGAGGAACCGGAGATTGGCAGGTAAGATGGCAGATGGCTACCCCACAGGCCATGGAGGCTAATGACTTCCGAGATTGGCAGGCAGTATGGCAGACCACGGGCTGAAGTCCAGAGAACTGGAGGCGGGATGATGGAGAGTCTGAGGCAGGGATTTGGACTGAGCAAAGAGCCTGAGCGCTTTGCCAGAACGCCCATGTATATTGGATGCAGGCCACACCCCAGAGGAAATGCTCTTTCAACGAATTGGCTGCACATAGCAGATCTCACCATGGAGATGATTACATTATATTAGACCTCAGCACAGGGGATGGCTACAGCATCACATAACTGCCAAACCACTGAGAATCGTGGCCCAGCCACTGACACAGAGCCTTCATCGTCAGACTCCTGATATTCCTGGGAGTCCTGTTTGTGTCCTTCTCTCTGGGTGCAGAGGTCCCTCCCCTCCCCCAGATACAGTGAATGGAAAACCGTGTATGTGTGGGAACCTTCCAGGCTTTTAGCTGCACTCCAAACCAATGTCCAGCCAGATCTAAGGACCTTGCCACCGTCCCACTGGGAGCTGCCCTCAGAGGCATCTTGGTTTATCATGTCCAGAGCAAGCTCCCTGCCACCCAGAAGCCAGCTTCTTGGTCTTCGATTCTGGTGCCAGCATCCATCCATTACGCCTCAGTCTGGAAATGGGCACTGCCCCAGTTCTGCTCATTCTGGCTCCCCCAAACCTCAGATACATTCTTTCCTGTTCGACACAATTAACTGTGCCTCCCGCTGGCCTTCCCCGCCCGATGCTGACTCCTCTGCCCCTTACAGAGCGCGTCTCGTGGCACTCCCCATCCGCAAACAGAGGCCCTGGTGGCTACACCCTGACTCTTCAGCATGACACTGTGGGTTCTCTGAGACCAGCCCCAAAGACCTCACCTGATCCATCTTTCCACTCACTCTGCACCCTGCAGCTCGGGCCCCATGGTTCCTGTCCACATCGGCCAGGTTCTTCCATGTGCCTGGCTATTGCAAACAGTGTACCTTGACCTAGAATGCAGTCCCCACCACCCCCGATTTCTAATCCAGCCAACTCCTACTCATCCTTCAGCACCCAGCCCAACTGCCTGCTACCCCTTCTAGAGCCAAGCTGGCTGCTCTTTTGTCCGGCCCCGGCCCGCCCCTCTCTGCTGTCTCTTACCTGGCCTTTGGCTCACCTACGTTATAGGGCCAAGTTCAATCTATGCCGGACTCATCCCTCCCATTCTGAGGAAGGCTTCTTCCAGGAAAGGACCTTGGCTCATCTCTGAAACTGCAGGGCTTGGTCTCTTAGGAGCTAACATGTATTGTCACAGGCACATCACCAGCGTGATTTCATCAGTTCTTACCCGCCCACCGCGTGGAGTCGGTACATTCCACATCCCCATTTTGCAGATGAAGCGGGTGAGACTCAGGGGAACCTGCCTGCTTGCGGTACACAGCCCGTGAGTGACCGAGCCGGTGAAGGGAAACCCAGGCCATCTTGTTCTTCGGTTGAATGGAGTCAAGATTGTCTCTGAGCAGGGCCTGATCGCAAAGTGGCTGGCCATGTTTGTAGCCAGCCGCCTGGCCTCCTCCTTAGCTGCCTCCTCATCCCCACGTGGGGAGACCCCGCTAGCACCTCTTCCCCAGGATCTGTGGCTCCCCTCTCCCCCACAGTCTTCTCTACCTATGACTCCCCTCTCCCCTACAGTCTTCTCTACCTCTGATGAGCTTTGGGGCCAGGGTCTGAGAGTGCTGTCTGTCGAGCTGGCACAAAACCAGCCCTGGCAGGTCCCGGGCAGATAGCCGCATTGGTAATTTGCTGGGGAAAACTGACAGGATACTGGGGTGCGGGGGTGGGTGAGGGGGTGTCCAGAATGAATCCCCAGCCTCTCTTCTTCTAGTGCCTTTTAGGGAGGGTATGAGGGGTGAAGGTGTAGGGACAGGTTTGTACAGGTAGGTGGGGAGGCAGGGTCCCTGGTGGGCAGCCCCCAACCCCGTCCTCCATGGGCTTTGCTGGTTGGGGGACCCTGCAGGGAGGGGACTCCTCCAAAGGGCCAGCTCTCCCTTCTGGGCACTGCAGCAGTCAGAGCCACCTGGCATTGGCTGGGGGAGACGTCACGCTTTCCACCCTGGCCCCAGCCCCTCCCCCACATAAACATCCCTTGAGCTTTGAGGGCACTGCCCAGGGCTTCCTCAGAGGCCACTGGCTTCTGAATGAAAGGCCCCATTGAGCAGCTGCTAAAGGAAAACAGCAGCCAACACGGGGGAACCTATAAACCCCGGAGTGTTTATTTTCACTCCCAAACTTTAAACCAAAGCAATCCCTCCCCTGGAACTGACCTTGGGGTGGCTGGCGGCCGAAGGCTGTGCACGGCCACCGGCTGGCATTTCTCTGAGGAAACTCAAGTGTGAATCCGGAATGTCTGGGGCCAGGGGAGGGTCTAGCCCAGCGTCTGTCGCTGCTGGCACCTTGCAGCCTGCCAGCTGGGGTGTCTGGGACAGAGAGGGCCCAACTTGGGAAGTGCTCAGTGGCTCCAAGCCCCTCTAGAGCCCAGACCCTGCAGTACTCTGGGGGCTGGCCTTGGTCCCAGTGGGACTTGGGTGTGTTCTTCCTGGGCTGGTCTCTTGACTGGGGGGTGGGGTAGGGCCTTGGGGCTGTCCCTGGGCCTGGGTCTTGTTTGCTCATATGCCCCAGAGAAGCCGAGGTGCTTGCATGCTTCTCAGTTCATATGGCACCTCTAACCATTAGGTCTTACAGAAAACATAGAGTGATGTTTAACTCGCATGACTTCTGATATTGAGACTGGGGTTTTCTTCATGAGCCTGAGTTGACTTTGAACCCAAGTAGATATGACTCTAGGGGAATTAGAGATCATGCGTCTTCAAAACCACAATTCCCGCTTCCCTCTCCCCCACCCCAACTTTAGTCTGGCCTGGGACGCAGTCTGAGCCAACTTGCTATTTGCTATATACATGGCTATTTCTCAAAGGGAACTGTCTCCCTCCTGCTCTCCCCCAGCAGAGAATCGCTGTGGTGAGAAGGGGCCACAGGGCTGCACTGCTTACAGAGCTGCCACCCAGGCAGACAGCCTGTTGTGAGTCCTCAGCTTGGGGTGGGGGTGGGGGCAGAAACTCCTCTTTGAGGGTCTCCCTTGACCTGGTTGATCAAGCAAATGGAAGCTGGCTAGCAGACCAGAGGCCAGGCTACTAATTTAGCAGGGCCAGAGAGGGGAGATCTCGAAGGAGAGTAAACATCCGTGTGTCCTCTTTGCTGGCCTTACAGTTCCCCAGAGGGCAAAGCTGTGTGGGCTTCAGGGATCCCACGAGGCCAGGCCAGAGTGAGGTGTGAAGATCCACTGTTGCCCATGGCTGGGGCCACCTCTGTGGTGATGAGTGCTTCAGCCCATCCCGCCCCTCACCACCCAGGCCCAGACTCTATCCTGGGTGGGTGGTGCTGGAAAATTCTTAGTCATTGGCTTCCCCGTGTCTGGACTGTGTTCATGACCCTCCCCAGCGCTATTAAACACGGCCTTTTGTTAAGGTTGGCTCGGGCTGGGTCATCTACCTGACGGGCTGAGGTGCTTTCCAAAGAGCACTGGAGGCTTGTGAAATGCCCCACTGACAAAGGGTTCCTGAGTGGAAGAGACTGGGAAATACTGGGTTCTGAGAGATTTATAGTGCTCCATGACAGAGAAGAGGCTCGGATGGGGCAGGGAAGAAGCCTGTTGGACCTGCGTAAACGCTCATTAGGGTCCCAAAGAATTTATCTCCTAGAACACATTTTTGGGAAACACACATCTACAGAATATAGTCCTGATTGCTATGGGTCCCGGGGACCCGTGGGGATCTGCCTCACCTCCCTCTTACTACCTCTCTCCTTCCCTCCTGGGGCTCCTTCTGCTCAGGTGACCACCAGTTTGTTTGTTGTTTCCCAAGGATCCCTCTCTTTGTACCCTTGCCTTGCTGAAGGCTTGGGAGACACCCTATTCTTTGATCTCTGTTGTCTGTCTCCTCACTCCTAGGACTCAGGGTGAGTTTAGGCTTAAGGAATCTTAAGCTGGGTACCTTCCAGCCGCCGCCCCTCCCTGCCCGTGCATCATTACATTGTAAATGACCTTGAATCATAACTGTGGTTTGGTTATCATTACCAAACCAGTTGTCAGGATCCTAATATCTTGGATCCTGTCTCATCCAGCATCATATTCCTAGCATATCATATTCGTAGCTTGCCTGCTACATGCTAGCCCACCAATCACTGTACCAGTATACTGAGTGGAGGATGTGCTAATACCTCACGCCGTAGTGAACATCTTTAAACCCACAGCCTCTCGGGGACTTTGGATGGTTCCCAGGACTATGGAGAAATGGGCTTAACCATTTTTATGTTTTCCAAGGCTTATTGCTCACTTGCTTTCCTGAAAGGTGGCTCAATTCCTTCTAGCACTAACGAGTAGTATAGATTTCCTCAAATTCTTGCCAGCACTGGGTTTTATAATTTTAAATGATTTTTCTTGACTTTAGAGGAATATGATTGCTACACTAGTGATCTATTCCACCCTCTCTTAAGGAGCCCAGGTAGGGTAGTGGTTATATATTGGGGTTGCAAACAGCAAGGTCAGCAGTTCAAAACCACCAGCCGCTCCATGGGAGAAGGACGAGGCTTTCTACTCTCATACAGAGTTGCTGTCTCAGAAACCCACAGGGACAGGGCTGCCCAGTCTTGTAGGGTTGCTATGAGATAGAAGCATCAACTCGATGACAGTGAGTTTGGTTTTGAAGTTATTCACCTCTCTCCTTGGAGGATAGAATGGTCGGAGCAACATTGGACTTGGGACTCGTGGGTCTAGTTCTGGTCATACCTGAGCTTGGGCTAGTGACTTGGTCTTCCTGGGACAAGACTGTCTCTTCTGACAAAGGAGAGTGACGGCTTCCCTCCTCTCCCTCATCCCTTCTGCAACTGAACTGGGGTGGGGGTGGGGACAGAGAAAGCAAGTGGAAGACGCTGGGACAGGGTTCTCCTGATGTTCTGGGTGGGGTATGCTCTATGAATAGGGCCCGGCCTAAACAGGGCTCTGGATCCACAGAGGAATCACCTAAAGGGGCTTGGGACTGGCCCTCACTCTCGTGGCTTGGAGTCCAGTGGAATGATGTGCATGCACAGGTGGCGTGTGCCCAAGGTGGTCTGAACCCTCTAAGGACTCCAACCTGCTTCTGCCTCCGCTGGCCATTCCCGAGCCGGCAGGTGTTCCCTGAGGCTTGGGGGGTGAGCTTGGAAGGCAAAACGCTGCCTTTCCCTACATGGGGACAGCTAGCCAGTTATGGGTGTGCAAACCTAGGCCCCCGTCTTCTGTTCAGACACTCCTGGGGAACCTGCCTCCTGCCCTCCTGCTTTCCTGGAAGAGGGATGTGTCTGTGAATCTGTCTGAATTTCCTCCATCTGACCACCTTGCTCCAGCCACCGCCCCCCCCCCC